GAGGGGGATTCGAACCCGCGACCCACAGATTGCGAGTCGAGCTCCCTAACCACCTGGCTATGCTGGGCCAGCTCTATATTCCGTCCGCTTATCTGGAGGAAACAAGTAATTGGAATTCTAAAAATCACTTCTTTGCTTGTCTGATCACCACATACTGTAAAACTATTGTATCGTATAACAAACCAGAAAGAAATACACTCACTAAGGAAAGCTTAAAGAGGTGAAGTCCTCCCCCAAACCCTCCAACGAAATATATTATAGACTTGTTGATATCTTTAAGGACTTTGACAGACTATTTCATAAAAGACATATCCTAATTGCTGATATGGCGATCACCAAATAAACTTTTTTGTTGTTGTTGTTGTTGTTCTCGAAGCTATCCCGTTGCTTTGTCCTACGGTGTACGACCTGGTGATTCGGGAGCTCTATTCGTAATCTGTTGGTCGTTGGTTGGAACCCCGTTACCGAACCTGCTCGCTCTTTCAGCCGTGGGGACATTATAATGTCACGGCCAATCCCCCTATTTTTTTTGGTAAAAGAGTAGCCCAGGAGTTTGGCGGTAAATGTTGTCGACTAGCTGCCTTTCTTCTGGTCTATCACTGCTAAAGTAGGGACTGTTAGAGCAGACAGCTATCGGGCAGCTTTACGTGGAATTCAAAACAAACAAAACCAATTTTACTAAAGTCTTTTATATATTTTTTGTAGTCGAAACTACAACGTCAAATCGACGAGGCTGATGAGACTCCTTGGAATAAAGTATTATGTATGAAGATATATCAACTTTTACAGAGTCATAGACTCTTCTAATGTATGTTACAGGCAGTGGCCAAAAAAATATAAACACCAATGTAAAGTCACTTAATGGGATGTTGGGCCACCACGTGCGGCCATTACGGCCTATATATCTACCAATGTCTGGAATTCTGAAGGAGAAATGCGACACCATTCTTCCACGAGAAAATCAATCAACTAACACCTAGTTGATGGAAGTGAAAACGCTGGCTCGGGCGTCGTTCCAGAATATCCCATAAATGCTCGATTGTGTTCAGATCTGGTGACTGAGAAGGTCATGACATATGGATAACGTCAGTGTCATGCTCCTCAAACCACTGGACGACTTCTCATGCTCTGTGGACGGGAACATTGGCCTCGCATTCTTAAGATACGACTGCACCCAAACCATGCCAGGAAAATACGCTCCAGACCATTATGGAACCACCAGAACCATTCACTGTTTAAACGAATCACTCAAGGCAGTAAAGTTCTTTAGGTTAGTGATTCATCTTGACCATATCACATTTCTCCACTACTCGGTAGTCCATAGACTGTGCTCTTTTGCACCAGTGGACGCGCAACCGTGCATTGCAACCCGACTATCTTATCCCGTTCTGTGGAGTTCCCCACGGACCGTTTTTGATGAAAATGGCTGCTCTCGCCTCAGGTCGAAGTTTGCGGTCTACCGATCTGCGGTTGCTCGCCTCTTTTTTTGGCTTGTAGTTCGAATTAATGCACGGATATCACGATCCTGGAGTATGCGCTTCCGCCAACTGTTGCCCTTTGTTGATGATGTCTTTCCCCCGGAGTTCCATGCTGACATCTTCTTAGACATCGTTGTTCGTGAAACATCAGCAAGTTGGGCAGTCTTGGTCACGGAAACTCCCGCCAAACGCCCCCCCCCCCAATAGTCTTTCAAAATCACTGAGGCCTCCTCTTCCAGAATTATATATATATATATATACATACACACACACACAAACATGCTCCTATACATGCTGGGATATTATTTGCTTAATTAATAAACGAGCCACATTTTACACTATAACCCGAGCGCTGAAGAAGATAGGTCCACCTTTCAAAAGCGCTCAGGTTATAGGGTTTTAATTCATTTCTATCAAGACTTCTTGAACCTACATAACTCGTTATTTCATGACACGAACTAGTACAAAATTCTGATTCTCACCACCAGAGGTTCGCTGGGTTTGGTTGTTGTTAAGACCAAAGCTACACGATAGGCTACTTGTTCTCTGTCCATGACGGGTATCGAAATCCAATTTTTAGTATTGTAAGCCTGCAGACAATACCGCTGAGATACTGGGGGGTATCACAGACAAAGATTTAATACACATCCATTTAGTATACGTTAAACTTAAGATTTAAAAAGTACATTATCTCTGTGAAGGCTCTTGCAGAATCTAGTCTACGTCACAAACTACGTCTCCCAAAGACTACGTCACAAAATTTAGACTTCCCTAATTCCCAGTTGACTTAGTCCGGGTTTCTCTAAGCAAACTAGAAAAACTTTACAAACAAGAAGGCTAAAAGGTGGAAGTTCAATTATCAAAACCTCCTACAAGACTTACTCTCCGACATCATACTAATATCTACATGCATACAATTTTGTTTATAAACGTGACTCAGAAGAAACAAATCAACATCAATAACCTAAATATCTCCTAGAATAAAACACAACAACTAAACGTAAGGAGTAATTGTAACCTCGTTGTTATATTTATATCCTAACGCATATCTTATATATTACATAATATATATCCTAACGCATATCTTATATATTACATAATATATATCCTAACGCATATCTTATATATTACATAATATATATCCTAACGCATATCTTATATATTACATAAAAGCATTCTCAAGATCAGCAAGAAAATGCAATTAAAATACTTTTTCACTGATGGTTTAGGTTTTCATTTATTGTGTCTAGTGACATGATGCGGCAATTAATGTAACTAATGCTACCTTAGTGCCCTCTTAAGGCATTATTTCGCATAGAAAAATTCCGGACATTTTCAGAAATCGGTAAAGATGCAGGAGATCCTTACACATTTGAAAAGAAACGGTAAAAAAAAAACACGTCATTTACTAGCTCCACCTGGTGATACTCTGACAATATTTCTTTACTTCATCTGATGACTGGTTTGATGACTGGTAGTAAAATGAAAATAAAACTATTGTGTATGAAGTTCGAATACATTATAATAAACTATGGTCCAGTGTAAATTTATTGTATCTGTATGCTAATATAGTAAACCAATACACTGATTTGTTATATTAACACTTTTAGTTAATGACCACATGACCCGGCTGGTCTAAATTGCGAAGCTGTAAGTTATGAAATTGACTTGTAAATTTAATAAGTAAGAGCGTAAATACAAAAAAAAAAACGCACATGTAGATTAACTGCACGTGTGCAATATATCATATTACTGGTTGACTTTGTACAGTTTATGAAACTGAAAGATAAACTTTAAATTTACATCAAAAGCCTACGGGAGCATAAAATATATTTAACTGTTTGATTATGCAAAATAGGCCAATATACAATAATGACGTCTCACGGTGTATCGCGTCAGCTAGGCCTTTTTTATACTTAATTGGTGCATACCTTAGTAACTCGGTACTGGATTAAATTCACTTGTTTCACTTGTCGGTGGGAGTCCATGTATTGCATCATATTGAATAAGTTTTTGATGTCGGTTTTTTTCTTTTTTTAGTGCAAAGAACTAAGCGAAAAAACAACAAAAATAAACTGGGTGAAATCACCCATCTTATACGTAATATATATATATATATACGAAGAACTCGAGGAGTAATTAGTGGGTTTATCTGCAACGCTACCGGCGTGGTGTTTAGTTTTATTTGTTACTCGCTAATTAGTGGGTTTATCTGCAACGCTACCGGCGTGGTGTTTAGTTTTATTTGTTACTCGCATATTAAATTAACCAATAAAGAAATAAAACCACAAGAAAAACGTATTTACAAAAAAATCTGGTGACATACGAATCCTGTATATCGGTGATTAAAAACTTCATTATTGAATCAATACCACAAAACAATAAATACTTGAATGTAAATCAAACACTTCATTATTGAATCAATACCACAAAACAATAAATACTTGAATGTAAATCAAACACTTCATTATTGAATCAATACCACAAAACAATAAATACTTGAATGTAAATCAAACACTTCATTCAATACCACAAAACAATAAATACTTGAATGTAAATCAAACACTTCATTATTCAATCAATACCACAAAACAATAAATACTTGAATGTAAATCAAACACTTCATTATTCAATCAATACCACAAAACAATAAATACTTGAATGTAAATCAAACATAACGTAACTGACAACATTGTTAGAAACGTTTTACTTTATCATTGCATTGTTTGCACTAATTGTAACGTAACTGACAACATTCTTAGAAACGTTTATAATCAATACTTCAGCTTCTTTGACGTAACTACCATTAGACTCGCATTAAACTTCTAAATATACTTGTTAAGTAACAATAATGATGAAAAAATCACACAGTAAAAACTCCAAGCGTTTGATTTACATTCAAGTATTTATTGTTTTGTGGTATTGAATGAAGTGTTTGATTTACATTCAAGTATTTCTTGTTTTGTGGTATTGATTGAAGTGTTTGATTTACATTCAAGTATTTCTTGTTTTGTGGTATTGAATGAAGTGTTTGATTTACATTCAAGTGTTTATTGTTTTGTGGTATTGAATGAAGCAATTAGTGCAAACAATGCAATGATAAAGTAAAACGTTTCTAACAATGTTGTCAGTCACGTTACAATTAGTGCAAACAATTAAAACACGTCTTCTCGTTCAATTACACTGTAATAATACCATTTACGTATTATTGATAGATGGCTTCTAGCACTTATCCCTAAAAAGTCGTCATGGTCTGTTAATCAGAAATTGTTATATCGCCCCCCTAAATTGTTATACGTCAGGTACGGCACAATGTGGCCCGGCATGGCCAGGTGATTAAAGCACTCGACTCGCAATCTGAGGGTCGCGGGTTCGAATCCCCGTCACACCAAACATGCTCGCCCTTTCAGCCATGGGGGCGTTATAATGTGGCGGCCAATCCCATTATTCGTTGGTAAAAGAGTAGCCCAAGAGTTGGCGGTGGGTAGTGATGACTAGCTGCCTTCCCTCTAGTTTACACTGCTAAATTAGGGACGACTAGCGCAGATAGCCCTCGTGTAGCTTTGCGCGAAATTAAAAAGAAAACAAAAAAAAAACAAGCGGCACAATGTTTCCTGAGAATCACAATTAACAATGTTCCCGAATCCCTATCGTCCAAGTCTTCTTTACAGGATATACTTCTGCCTCAATGTCACCTTCTAGAAAACATTTTCCTGGGAGAACACAGTTTGTTACGACTCGGAGGACTTGTAGAAAAAAGCCTTCCCACCATTTCCTACACTTCGACTTCTAAACCGCTTCTGTAATTCTAGTCTAAGTTTATGTTTGTTTGTTTGTAATTAAGCAAAAACTACTCAATGGATATTTTGTGCTGTGTCTGCCACGGGTATCGAAACCTGGTTTTTAGTATTACAAGTCTTCGGACTTACCGCTGAGCCACTGGAAGGCCCAAGTCTAAGAGAGAGATAAATTCCAAGAATAATTACACTGGCATTGAAAGCCCCGTTTTTCACTTTGGATTGCGATATCTTGAACATGGATATTGCATATATTCCCCCCCCCCAAAAAAAATTATCAGTTGAGAAATAATAAACGCGCATTATACTTACTAAATCCGTTCTCATTACTTATTCACTTACTATATGCCACTGAAGCTGTAATTATCAACTACGCTCTTGTGTTTGCTTTATAATTTTCTGCAACATCCCATCTTATGAAAGTTCAGTAAAATTACAAAGTCCCATTATCTATTCTCGCAATTTGAACTCCCTTGTTGTTTTGTTAATGTTCCTTTTTCTTTGTTGCATTTCTGGTTCTTCTGGAGAATGAAATACACTGTTATTCAATGGTCTCAATCCGCATAATGAACGAAAAGAAAAAACAACATTGAGCATTGGAGCTCTGACACTACTCCACCTTAGCTTTCTGAATTTTTCAGAAGTTGCCAACCATCATTGAGCAGTCTTTTCTTCTGGACAACCCAATAACCCATTACAACTTCCTCCTCCTCCTCAAGCACATCTCTAACCAGCTTTTATCCATTTTGATATCTAACAGCGTGGCCTCTAACCAGCTTTTCTCCGTTTTGATATCTAACAGCGTCGTCTCTAACCAGCTTTTATCCATTTTGGTATCTAACAGCGTCGTCTCTAACCAGTTTCTTCCAGTTTTGATATCTAACAGCGTGGTCTCTAACCAGTTTCTCTCCAGTTTGATATCTAACAGCGTGGTCTCTAACCAGTTTCTCTCCAGTTTGATATC